GGGGTCTTTGTGTGCCTCTCTGAGGGGCCTGGGGGGTCTCTGAGGGGCCTGGGGGTCTCTGTGTGCCCTCCTGGGGGAGTCTGGGGGGCCTCTGTGTGCCTCTCTGAGGGGCCTGGGAGCTCTGTGTGCCCTCCTGAGGGGGTCTGGCAGTCTCTGTGTGCCCCTCTGGGGGGTCTCTGAGGGGTTAGGGGTCTCTGTGTGTCTCTCTCAGGGGTGTGGGGGACCCGGTGGAGCCACCCTGAGGGGTCCTGGTGCCCCCGTGGCTGCTGCGGGGCTGTGTCCCGGTGCTGCGCTCCACAGCCGGACACCAGCGGGCTCACGCCACCATGTAACCGTGGGTTAAAAGCAGCAGGGGGTCTAATTAATCAGGATAATTAAGGTCACGGCCTTATCAAGTCAACATCTCCCACCCTGCTAGCAGCAAGCTCTGACCTCCCTTCTCAGGCCCGTGGCCGCCCCTCTGTTCCCCCCTGGGCTAACTAATCCTGTCCCCGGCCCCACCAGAAGGCAGATGTCGTCACTGGTCCCTCTTAACGAAGCCCATTAGCGCAGAGGAGGTGTCTGAGGAGGTTCTTTGTGGGACAGGGCTGTCCCCACAGCTGCCCCCCACCCCATTAAAGCTGTTCAGGGGCGGCTTTAACCTCCTCCAACCCCTTCCCGGCCGGGCCGGGCCGGTGGGGTGGGTTCCCCTGGGGCAGAACGGGGTGGAAAGGAACGAGAGAGGGAAGGGTGGCACTGGGGAGCGCCCCCATGAGCTCATGGCCCCCTTCGAGGGCACGGGGTTATGGTTTGAGGAACCCACAACAATTAATTGGCGTTCAGACAATTATTCTCTCCCGGGTCCCCACCTGGGAAGAGGAATTGGGGTGAAACAAGGAAACCCCGGGGCTGAAATATAAAGAGATTTAGTAGAGTAAGACTAAATAATTAACATTAATAACACTAAAGAACCAATATTGATCCTGATACGAATATAAAATATGGAGGATGATACTCAGCCCGTTCTATGGGTAGAAGCTGTGCGCTCCCCCCAGTGACAGCCAACGTGGGACCCTGCGAGCGCTGCGGCTTCGGGAGGACGGGAAGGGCTCGGGGCTGCGGCACCGGGGCGAGGAGGTCTCAGGGTGGCAGCCGTCACGG